ATTCAATATTAGCTTGATTTTATGCGCCAATTTAAAAAATATGCTATATTGTATACCTCTCCCCTATCTTATCGAAGGAGCTACCCCCTATGACCACCACGTGCCAAATTTGGTTCAATTTGCTTGATTAGTTATGCAGAAATTTCTGATTCAGGGTCTCGAACCATCATAAGAACCTTTCCCTGCCCCAAAAACCCCTGCACACAAATTTTCATGCCGATTGGTTCAGTAGTTTCCGAGTCTATAAGGGTCAGACAGACAGACAGACAGACAGACAGACAGACAGACAGACAGACAGACAGACAGACAGACAGACAGACAGACAGACAGACAGACAGACAGACAGACAGACAGACAGACAGACAGACAGACAGACAGACAGACAGACAGACAGACAGACAGACAGACAGACAGACAGACAGACAGACAGACAGACAGACAGACAGACAGACAGACAGACAGACAGACAGACAGACAGACAGACAGACAGACAGACAGACAGACAGACAGACAGACAGACAGACAGACAGACAGACAGACAGACAGACAGACAGACAGACAGACAGACAGACAGACAGACAGACAGACAGACAGACAGACAGACAGACAGACAGACAGACAGACAGACAGACAGACAGACAGACAGACAGACAGACAGACAGACAGACAGACAGACAGACAGACAGACAGACAGACAGACAGACAGACAGACAGACAGACAGACAGACAGACAGACAGACAGACAGACAGACGCGCTAGGCATAGATGGCCCACAGCGGCTCACGAAGAGCTACTGAATCCTATCAGTAGTGGTGAGGCTTCTTTCTGCTTGTGGGCTGCACCTCGCTGCTTGCGGGCAGCCTTTCGTTGTGTACTGGAAAAAATGTACGACGCCACGCGCTGAAAGCACCGGAATTGGATTGTAATTGAATAAGCACCGTTCGGCGAGATCGGACTGTGTAAGGGAAATTGCAACAATTGGACATTTGTGTAATTTTCAATAGAGGCCTTTTGAAAATTGATAAAGCATTCATCTAAACAGATTTGTAGAAAAATTTCCAATCGATTGGTTTTTTTTTTTTTTAATTTAACTCCATCCGCTATTGACAGAGTTATAAGTGGTCAAATCCTTACCACTTTTCGTAACGCGATGAGATTTTGGTTTTTTTTTTGAAATTGCACCCCCAATATGTTGCGGAAAGACGTAATCCTACGTCAAAATAAAAAGTAAAATTTCAACTTCAAACAGTTTTCAATACCATGCGCTCTTTCCTGCTTTGTTTTGACTCTTTCGACCTCTTTAAACCTGAGGACGGCTGTTTGGAAGGCCTCTCCAATGTGCAAACAAACTGATGAAAGCAATGCATGCTTCTTATTTTGTTTTCATCGGATTGTGTTCCAACAAGCTTCGGTGAACTGACTGGTTAGGTACACGTATCTTAGGATCCCAGAGTTCTTGGTTGTAACGTTTTTATCTTTCTTTTGTTACTTTTCATCGTTAATCAAAAGCTTCTCATTTAAAGAGCACATTTAGGAAAGTAACTTTATCTCCACACCACTCTTCCACCGTTTTATGTTTGTCTCAATGTGCATGTATTTTCATAAAGCTGTGCATTAGTTCTCCTCAATTTGTTAAGCTGATTGTTCTTTGCTCTCAATTTGTGAGGAAATAACAAGCCTGCTGGCATTGATGATGTGGATCAGCATTATTTTAGATATGTTTGGAGCGCAGTTTAACTGATATGAACGCACAGTAATAGATAGGTCTTCAAAACTTCCTTTATGCATTTTGGTACACAGTTTTTTTTAAAGAAAATCACATGTAGAATAGGGTCTCAGTAAAGGCACGGTTTTCCCAACCCGGAGAAATCTTTGGTGGTGGAAACTTCCCAGGACACAGAGTATCATTGTGCTTTCGACACGATATACACATTCATGCATTGGTTGGCATAGAAAGCTCTCAATTAATAAATGTGAAAGTGCATCTAGAACTCTAAATTGAGAGCCGGAAAACATTCGCTGCAGAAGCGTAAAAGCTTAGAAGAAGAAGAAATATGTAGATTTACAATTCAGCGCACAGTTAGTTTTGACGTAAGACTACGTATTTAATTTCTATACTGGGGGACACATTAAAAAATCAAAATTCAGACATGTAACGAAAAATCCCAAACACGGACGCAACGATAGAGCGCAAATCGAACAAACGACACATTGCGCATGCTCACATGAATGATCTCAATGCTCGGTTGATCGACCAATGAAAGGAAGGGAGGAGAAAAGCAGAGGTAATAAAAACGCTTGCCAAACAGGGATGCCAAAAATACAGAATAATCTGTATTTATACTGGTTTGTTTAGCGGTTTTTAAACCAAGAATCTGTATATCAAATGTAAATGTATATACAGATATTTTGAGGTATGTCTTTAATACAGCTAAATTTTTGCGTCAGCCTTACTTCCATGTTACCGCATGACTTATAACCTTGCCTCGAGAGTTAGAACTCAATGAACTGGATTATCGGGGTGAGGTAATCGGGCACACAATTTGATGCAAAAGTGTAGTTTTATAACCGTTACCGCACTTCCAACACTTCTTTGTTCATTTTGGAGCGAAATACGCAATATTAAAACTATACAGATATTGACACAGATTTTTTGAAGAAGAAATACAGATGAAAAGATTTTTTATAAGAAAAATACACATTTGCTTTTGGCAACCCTATTGCCAAATCGTTTTCTTCGTCATTTGCTTTCAAGCAATACGAGCACCAATACGAAGACGACGACGACTACAAAAGCACCCACATCGACCGTAGGAAAGGCTTCCCGCAATAGGAAGCATGACTAGGCCGCCGTCATCCAGTCGGCATCGACTTGCACTGGTGTGGCCACCATTTGAAAAAAACCGCCCCTTTTCAGGGCCACCAATTCAAAAACGGAAAGAGTTAAGAACTAAATGATCAACATATTTGTTCCGTCCACTAGCGGTCCTACGTCAAGCTTCCGTTCGTGCCCCTATGCATAGACCCCTCTACTTTTTATTAAAAACGGGACAGCAATGGGGTTGTACGCAATGGTAACGTAGGACAACGTGGTCTTATTTAACAAATCTTATTTGTTAACTGCAGCAGGAGCTTGTGTTTTGTGATGGAATATAAACTTGAGCGGGGTTCTCTCTGTTTATACTCTTTAGTATGACGCGCTTGACATAGATGGTCCACAGCAACTCATGAAGAGCTACTGATTCCGATCAATACACACTTAGAAATAACTACTTTTACACGAGACGTAATCCATATTGGACGTAAATCATAGAACGTAAACAAAAAATTCATGTAAAATTGAGTGTTCTTACACCGAAACATCAGCGAGTCGATGAAGAGAACGTTTGATTGAATTGATTTTCACGTTTCATTCAACTGATTCTTATGTCAAAAGGCCCGCTTACATGTGTCGGTCTCAAGGAACCGAAATTTACATGACTTTTTAGTAGTGTGTAGCTGTGCCGCTTCTTCCTCCTTCTATGGATGCTCATGTGGGCTGCAGCTCGCTGCTTGCAGGCTAGCTTTCGTAGTGTACTGGAGAACACCATCACTCACCATGCGGTGATTGAATAAACACCGTTCGGTGAGACCGGATAGAATTCAACTTTGAAATCTGTGTTAGGGAAATCGCATTTCGCAGGCAATCGGTGATTATTTTAATTATCTTAGCAACAGTTGCGTAGGAATATTTCTGATCGATTGGTGATTGGTTTAGGGGCAGTTGAGTTATTAACGTTCAAAATCGTTCATAATTTCGTTACAGGTTCCATTTTCGGTTTTCACAAAGTGTACCCCCATATAGAAATCACAGACGTAGTCCTACGGCAAAAGAAAACGAATCGTTTTCGGAGCTGGTTACTCATGGAGTACCTGAGTAACCACCGTGACGCGGTAGCCACCATCTGCGGATTAACTTTTAATACCGTTCTTTATTTAAGAATCTGCCAACTGTTTGTCGACGTCGACAACAATACAGCTCATTTGTGATCAGGATAAGAACATTTGTCTGGTAAAATCAGCCACGATAGTGGCAGTTTGTGCATTGAATGAACATTGTCCTTAATCCGATGATAAAACTGGATGGAGCTTACCACCATTAATGCTCTACTCGCGAACCCACACATACTCATATATTCAGTTTCTCATTATCATCACCCCCAAATAACCCACCGACACTGGTTCCTCTTGTCTAAAAACTATTCCACTTCATTGGAAACACAACCCCCTTGCAGCGCGCACGGTTCCACCTCAACAGCATCCTCATTGGAAAGGTCGAAACTCTCATCCATCCATCTATCCATCCAGTTCGTTTCCTCGCTCCCTGCGGCTCTCGCAAACATCGACCATCACACGTTATCCTGCCGCAAGTACACCTTGCTTGTACACCTACCATTCCAACCCCAACCAACCACTCCCTGAGTTACACCCAGTCAGGCGAACCAACGTAGAGGAATGCATTTTCCTAGCATGTTTCACCGTTCGCAACACATTTTTTCTCACTCACCCCTTGCTTGAGCACTGTCCCCACTCTCCGCTCTTCATCTACCAAAAGTCGGTCTCGGTACGATACTTCATCCCGGAAGAGCAATCGCATGGTACCTATGGCTGCACTTTGTTTGTGCGTTTCTCTTTGTATAGAATAACAAAACCAAGAGAGAATGGAAAACCGGATCCCTCCACCCTTCCGCCGTGATGCTCCCGGTTATCAACGATGAGCTTTTTTCAGGCGAAAAGCGGAAATCGCACACTCGTACGCATGTGCGCGCGATCTGCAGACGGGCCAACCTGCGTTACGCGCGTTACGCCGTTTCGTCCTGTTACTGCACGGGAAGATGGCGTGTTGTTTCGGAGCGTCGGGTCGGGGCACGAAGTTTGACAGCTGCAATCTCTCTCTCTTCGTTGAGACTCCCGCTCCGAGTGGGAAGTGAATGGAATCCTGTTTGGGCCAGCTCGAGTTAGGTTGGGTGGTTGGTAAAATCGCTCGCTGCTCCGGAGCTCAGTGACGAGCCTAGCATGGCCCAGTCAAAGCCAACTGTGTCAAACGGTGCGGGTGTGCGAAAAAGTAGGCGCTGCGATTCGTGTAGGTCAGTGCGTGCCATTCCTCATCTGCTTACAGCAATCCTCTGGGAGTAGCATCAAGCTTTTCATCGAAGGAAGGAAGAATTTATGGCCAAGGCCTCTGCGTTCCCTCCGGGGGTTCAGTGACAATGATTTTCCGATTGCAGTAGTTTGCCAGCGGACCAGTGTCAGTAGGTGAAGCCAGTGTCAATAAAAACACCGAGCGAAGATTAGAATGAATACAGTGTGGAAACGAGGAAGTGAGTGAAAATCCTGTGGGTGGTAACTGGGCCAGTCAATGTGTGATGTGTGTGCGTGTGGATGTGTGATTTGCTATAGGAAAAAAGTGTAAGCAGTGGAGAGATATCCGGCTGTGAAGATTGAAATCGATACCCAGGTGGGTGGTTTTTGCTGGAACCTACGTCGTTCGGAAGGCGTTGGAAGATTGTGTGTTTGACAGACGTTTTTTCCGCACCCTATTGTGTGCTGGAAAGGAATGCGAAAAATGTTGCATCCGGAGGACAGTCTCGGGGAGAAAACTGCTTCTTCCTTGGTGGATGTCATCAGCTCGGGTCTATTCAAGTAGAAATCAAAACCAATGGACTAGAAGGAGGGAGCAGTGAGGGAAGAGAGTGAGCAGCAGCAGCAGCCTGAGAGCGAGGTACATAAGTTGACGGACGGTAGGAGGATGGCGAAATTGTGCCATAGTTTGAACTGATGTGACGTTTGCTGTGTGCCTTTGGGGAGTATCGTGTGAAGCGGGTTGGATCGATTTGCAGCTTTCTGTTTTGGTTGGGTACACCTATAGTCAATGACGAGACGGGCATCGATTGGATGATTGCTATCGGGTGTACGACATCGTCAGGATGGGTGCATTCTTATGAATCTCGTCTATATTGGTTCGGAGGTATTTTCATTTGCCGATTCTGAGGCTCAGACCGCCTCCGGATCAATGCCGGCAGTATTGGTTTATTATCATTTCTGATGGTGATGCTTGTGGAAGGCGGTATTTAATGTGAACCACTGGGTATTGGATCATTCAGACAGTTTCTATGAGAGTTATTAAGATGGCTGTAAATGTCGTTCACTAACTTTAAATAAACTTGAGGAAATTTCTCAATAGTTTCGAGTATATTTTGGCAAGCAATAAGCCAATAAACTTGCAGCGATTGCAGCGTGACTTTTTTGAATCGAAGGAACCAATTAAATGAGTTTAATTTAATAGCAAAAGCACATGAAATGTCTAAATAGTCAAAGAAAAATAAATCTTCTAATAGCCTAAGCGAATGAAAGATCTGTGCTTGGAAACAAGAATAAGAGATTATATTCCCACGGAGGCAAAATTGCGATAACTATTTAACCTAAAGTCTTAGGAAGATTCTTATTAACAGAAATTAAAGGATCTTGAGTTTCTGTCTTTATATTTGATTACAAGATTCAAACATACACATTAAGAAAAATTGATGTTAATTTAGGTGCTCTGAGACTAACATATACGAGCGTCAATTTGGACATAAAATTGAGTCATATTAAATGCGAAATTCAGCTCAATTAAACGTACTTTCGATCGTTCCCGTCTCGGGGCACTTAATTTAACATGACATGTTTGTTTACGTCTCATCATTTAGTTCAAAGATAGATTCCGTCACGTGTAAGATTAGATATTTCTTAGTGTATAAATCTAGTTCTTTTCGTAGGTTGCCAAAAAATTGGCAAATCTTAATAGTACCAACTTGGCAGTCTCTTTTGAGTTGCTATTAATAGTTGTAGAATTATATGAGGGTAAGGATTATCATTATCGCGCTAACGTTTAGTTTTCTGATTGATAAGGTGCAATTGATGCATTTTTGAAAAATCCGAATCAATTGCTTTTCGACGTATTGCAGATTGCAAATCACTTGCGTCATTCTGTATAAAATTTTAAAACTAATGTTATGGTGAGATGGTGTTTAAAATCCGAAATGATGCGTCAAAAAACTGGGTTTTGAATTTCTGGACATCGCGCCAGTTGCACTTTAAATGTGTTTTACTGAAACCAGATTTACCGGTAATACCGTGCTATTCTGAACGATCGACATACCGGTTTTTAACCTTCTTAAATCCGGTAATGTCAGTAATTTGAATATCAAATGGTTGATGAAAGTTATGAAGAGCCCAATACGAAAAAGTCATGTAAATTTCGGTTCTCTGAGACCGACATGTGTAAGTGGCTCTTTTGACAAAAGAATCAATTTAAAGAAACGCGAGAATCAATTCAATCAAACGTTCTCTCAATCGACTTGCTAATGTTTCGGTTTGAGAACACTTAATTTTGTTTACGTTCCACGATTTACGTCCAATATGGATTACGTCCCGAGTAAAAGTAGTTATTTCTTAATGTGTGGAATACTCACAAGAGCAAAACTAGGCAATTATTTTCCATTTACAGTCACCCCAGTATTATGGGCCACCCACAATCATGGGTCATTTTCATTTGATTAACACGGTGAAATGACTGACCCATAATAGTTATTAGCTGACCCATAATACTGGGGTGACTGTAATTCTACTTATTTTGTATCCATGCCAGGTACGTATTTCGACTATAATGACGAAGGGAATGACATTCATGAAGATTGCACACTGTTTTTTTTTTCCTTTGGTTTGTTTTTTCCGTCGATCTTGTTTTCCGTGCTGAGCACCAATGTTACCGACGTGCCAGGAAGGCAGCTCCCACACCTGGACCCTACCTATCGACCCATCAACTCATGAACCGGGGACCAACGGCTTTACTTCTCATCCGAAGGAAGACGTGATCAGAGATGTTATGCCTCAGAACATCCCGGCGGCGCCGACTGGGATTGAACCCAGGCCTGCTGGGGTGAGAGGTAATCACGCTTACCACTACACCACCGGCGCCGTTAATTGCACACTGTTGTCGGAATACGTATCTGTTATGGAAGTTAAGACCTGAAGGGTCTTTTCGAATTTTCAAAAAAGGACGCGAACTCGTTGCCGGTCGAAACAGAAGTGAAATATAATTTTATTTCAATTATGAGCAAAGTACAAAATGTAAACTAAGCAGCGGCTACTCGTTGACAACAGTTTGGATTCCTCACGGGTTGAATGTCTCGATGTGGTGCTCTGTCGTCCGGTGTGCTATATTGATGATTTGGTGGAGCGGGTGTTAACTGCTCCCCCTTTGAAATGTTGAGCCTCCTGGGTCAACGACTGGTAGAAATCTAAGCGTCAGCAAGTGTCATTGGTTGATATATGTAATGTTAAGGAAGAGCATGTGGTTTTTCGTGCAGTGTACTAATGTTGATTGAAGCGGCTTGTTGACGTGCCTTATCGAAGATTTAGAATCCAATTAAGATGATCAATGTTGTGCTGAACGATTATCTTCCCACAATGACCATGGTGTTACATCTGCCTTTGTCTGCAGGTATCCGAATTTGTTAATGTTTTCTAGATGAAGTAGATGTATTCTGTTAATGTTAAAGGTTTCGTAAGTTTAAATTCTGAATATGTTTAAATCAGTTGATGGCGTGATAAACGGCTGTTCTATGACTCGGATTATTGCATTCGTAAAAGTGTATTTTTGAAAGGTAATAGAACAGTTTTCATAAACGATCAGATATGAGCCTTGTAGGTGTCTGTTCGTAGCTCCGCAGGTATTGCGTAATGAGACAATGACTGGAATGTGATTGAAGACAGCTTCGTATGAACAGGGGATGCTAGGGGATCCTTTTATGACGTTGCCGATGCATCTATCGTTAGACACGTCTTTTAGTTCAAACGTTAAACACATGGTCCAGTTTCCCAATTTTGCACAAGGTGTTGTTAAGAGGTACAGGTTTGACTCGCTTTTGAAGAATAATTTGCCAAGTTTTATGATACGCTGTGCTCGATTAATCACGGCTTCAGCTCGAAGGTGTTGAAATGTGGTTTTGCTGAAGTTGGGCATGTCTACGATGTACAAGATGACTTCCCTATTGGTGACGACCGATGTAGTAACAAACTGCAAGGCTCCATCTATCAGGTGCTGGTGAATTCCTTGTGTTTCTAATCTTATTGTGATTTCTTCAGTTTCATCTGGGTTTAACAATTTATTGTTTAAAATATTCAATTTTGAAAATATATTCGCATTTCTAATAGCTTCGATTTCGTCATTTCTTCTTCTTCTTATTATTAGCATTTCAAGCTTTTTCGATGCCAATACCAATGCTTGAATTTGTACATTGTGTGGCAAGCACAATGATACTCTATGCCCAGAGTAGTCGAGAAAATTTCCAACCCGAAAGATTCCCTCGACCGGATCTGGAATCGAACCCGCCGCCTCTGGTTTGGTAATACCGTGCCTTTAGGGAGTAGGCTATGAAGCCCCGATTTTGTCATTTATGAGATCTAAATTGAACATGATTTTAAGTGAATCCAACTCTTTTGATATTTCTTTAAAGTTTTGGGAATGTGAGGAAGTAATGTTGTTCAAGTAGTTGGTCAAACTCACAAGGCTTACATGTAATTTTTCGTTGATTTTTACTTGGTCATTATTATTGTAAACAAGGTGTTTTATTGAATTATCTATAGCATTAAAGTCATCTGAATCAGGAGATCCAGCCATCCAGCGTCCCATCTTCTGACTTTATTGTTTTATAGTGGTTTAACCTGCGCCAGGCTGTTTTCTACAGTTTTGATTATATGAGCAAGTATGGGGTTTGTATAATTTTTTTCATTGACAATTTCTTCCTGATAAGACACAGTGGTTTGGATAAATGTAACGTTAACTTTGTGTATATTTTTTTTGTGTAGCCTTCTAATATTCTTCCTCTTTCTCTGGAGGGATGCAAGGATGGGAGGTATGCTGAAAGGAAAATGATAGGGGTGGCATTAGAGAAAGGTTGCAGGATTCACCAGAACTTCTCTAATGTTGGATTCGTATATTTAAATTCTTAATGTTTGATTCATGTAGATTTTGATTTTTCTCGTTTTCCACTGTTACTCTTTGATTAGTTTGAACAAAATGTTTTTTTGAAAATTGGTTTGTGTTTTACTTACTTACTTAAGGGTCCTGTGCACCACCAGCGGTGCAAAGGGCCAACGTGAAAGACTTCCATCCTGGGCAGCTGCTCACTTTTGCCTTGACATGGGCCCAGGTCAGATTCCTATCGACTTGCTTAATTTCCTTATTGAGACTCCGCCGCCATGAGCCCCTGGGTCTGGCTCTGCTGCGATGTCCTGCCGGATTCCAATCCAGCGCTTGCTTGCAGATTTCGGTTCCGCCCCGTCGAAGTGTGTGGCCGACCCGCCTTCACTTTCGCTCTCAAATTTCTGTTGCTATCGGCTTCTGATGACATCGACGATGGAGCTCGGCATTCGAGATCCAGTTGTGAGGCCACCAGGCACGAATTATATACCGCAGGCATCGGTTGATGAAGACCTGCCGCTTTTAAGTGTTCTCCGCTGATACACACCACGTCTCGCTGGCGTATAACAACACAGATTTCACGTTCGAGTTGAAAATTCGGATTTTGGTGCGTTGACTTATCTGGTTGGATCTCCATACGTTTCGTAAACTCGCAAAGGCAGCCCTAGCCTTCTTGATTCGTGCACCTATGTCGCTCTTGGCCCCGCCGTCCGACGCCTTCTCCACTGCTTGCCCCGCTTCCGTAAAGCTGGAAG